AGCAGAACCAGTAAAACTTTTTTTCAGCAAGTTGTAAAAATCAATATACACATTTGTATATCAATCCCATTCCCTTATTTATGTTATGATTTGAAATATGATTTGGTTCACCTGTGTAGCAAAACACTGGCTATTATACTAAGTGCTGTACTGTAGCATCTTTCATTATTCCGGCATACTTAATGAAGTAATGAATTAAATAGGATTTTTATTCATAAGAATACTTTAGTAGACTTGTTATTATATTAAAAAAAGAACAAAACTGGAAAGAATTTTATTATTTTTAGTTTGCAAATGCAGAAGCCTTACTCTGAAACTACTACAATTCCCTCAATTAGTCTTGTTAAAGCCTTGGATATCCTCACAGAAGTTGCCTCAAGACTCTGGACAGTCAATGCAGGAGCAGCTGACAGAAGGCACTATAAGACAATCTGATTTGCAGGAGGTTCTTTCATAGCTTTTTATCTCAGATATAAGCTTCAGAAAAGCAATTTTAAGTGTTCTTAAACTCCTCTGTTTCCAAGACAAGTTGAGTTTATTTCATGTTGAGTTCTTTCCTGAACTCTTTTATTTGAAATAAGTAACATTGAGTACTCTTAAACATTTTGATTTACACAAACAGTATTTATTGTAGCATCACTGAGATAATTACATATATGAATGAACTGATATGGAATTAAAGCAGGAGACTTTTTAAATTAACTGTTTCTTGTAACTTTTGTCTACTGTCACACCCTCTGATTAATTTGAAAACATATCTAAAACATTGATACAGTATTAGCTTCTTTGAGGGTGAACAACACAAATACTACATGCAGTAGTTAAGTTTATATTCTTAAAAAGATGCTGTGAAAAGGATAATACCTAAAAGATCTACAAATGTGACCTGAGGATTGAAGTAAATATTTTACAGCAATGCACAAGTAAACCTGTTTAATCAAAAACATGGATAGTGACTTGATTACTGTGCTGCTTTGTGGGAAGAAAATACTGGTTAATAGAGGCCCTTCATTTTAATGGAGGAAGGCAGAAAAAGCAATTTTCAATTTATTTTTTTTTTTTAATTCAGTAGAGTGAGGCCAATTAACTGTTAGCACTAGAAAGCTGTGGAGCCTCTGTGACATCTTGGAAATGTGCACTAGAAAGCAGTGCAGCCTCTGTGACATCTTGGAAATGTGAACAGCTTTCTTTTTGTTTGGTTTGGTTTCTTCTAAATGCAAACTGCTCAGCTCAACATGGGGTAACACCTCTCTAACATGTACAGAAGATTAAGTTAAATGGTCTAATGATTCCTCTGGTTTGAAGGCTACAAAACAATTCATAATATTGGAGTTTCACAACTGGTGCTACCTATCAGTGAAAAAGGTTTGCTGCTGACCTTAGCTGCTTGAAACACATTGCTCTCTTGGTGTGCTTCTGTGAAGTATCACATTCCCAACCACCTAACAAGAATGGAAGTAGACAGCACATGATTCATAACAGCATCTCTTAAAAACAAACATACGCTTAAGCACCATTAAGTCTTCCCAAAATGGCTGCCTTTAAGTGAATCAAGATGCTACAGACATGTAAGAGACTACCTGAATTTTCTTCTCCCTTTTGTTCAGAAGCTATTCTGGACATCATTAATTTCATGCTGACAACATCAACCTTAGTGGAACTAGAAGTTTAAACAACAATAATGATGGAAAAATCCAAACATATTTTAGAGCTGACAAGAAATTATTTTATTTTGTAATTTTAATTAACTTCAACTTTTAAACCATTTCTCAAAAACAGCTGATGTTGAAATCCTTATTTTAGTGACTGAATATTTCTGTCTTACACACAGTAATTTACCAAAAAGAACTGTTAGCCATGGCACATCTATTCCTCTTGATGATCTTGCTATATTAATTCAGATAGTCATATTTCGTTTCCTTAATTTATTGAGAGGACACAGCAAATCACAGTGATGCATAACTGAAAAATTATAATCCTAAAATAGAGTCATATTATTTTCATGAGACAAGAATGAAAATTTGATAAACAATTAAGTTAATTTTTGAGTCAGATTTTTTTTTTGTTGAATTTTTACATCATTAATTCCCTTTAGTTCTGGGCTAGAAAAGGATAACACAGGAACCTTTTCTTACCCAATACAAAAGCAATCTGCTTACATTCTTAGGAAAGATGGAACCACAGTGGAAGATGACCTGTTGCCATACAAAATATATCATATAGATAGTATCAGGATTAAAACAATGCATACACCAAATCTCAACTTCACTTTATGCAGCTGGTCCTTTGGGAATACCTGGGACAATTCTAATCATAACAAATTTATTTTATACATATAGAATATTCATATATATAGTAATGCATGCACTCTTTTTTTCCTTTGGTGTCGAAGGTTCTCATTAGAGCTTTCCTTTATCCGTTCAAAATAGATCTAAATTTGGGATACACAACTAAACCTAGGTGAGCACACTAAGTAATCCATACTGTGGGTGCTTAAGATGTTCCTTTAATATTTTATGAGCACTGCCTGAAATCACAGACTTCATTCTTCAATAGATTTTATGTGTATGCTTAAATGACGCACACAAGTAAAGTGAACCACGTCCCCTCACCCTTGCACACTTAACACAGATCTCCAATTGTGCAATCCTTGTTTAGACAAAACAAATAAGGGTCTAAGCTGGAGCAAGAAAGATCTATTATTAAAGGGTTGTGAAACACTAGAGCAAGTAAAAAAGGGAATATAACAAAAATTTCCCTATAAGAAGATTTAAAAAAAATAATTAGGCCAATACCCGTTAAAATAACATCTATAGTATAACATCAAACCTACCTTGAAGAAGGAGCAAGAGATTAAAAACCTTCACTTCAAATTTGTTTTTTCTTGATTCTAAGACAAAGTGCAAAGCCAAATAACAAACCAATCCAAAAGTAAGTCTCAAGTCTCACAGAATTCCAGATCCTTTGTAAACTATTTAAAAAGTAGCTGAAACCCAAAACTTACTCCTCCTGAACAGTGAAACTGGGATCAACTAAGAGCATTCTCCATCCAACAGTTAATACTATCACTAAGCAACACCAGAACTCTACTTACTTCTATCATGGTTGAGTACATTTGTTTTGAAATACTAAAGGAAAATATCAAATCTAAACAATGAGCCAATGAGGCCATTGTTCAATACTTTATCCACTGTAAAACCAGGAAGGTATTTATATAATTCTAAAAAGAGACAATATAACTCAATCCTAAATTCTGTTCTGCTTAACTGCTTTGTAAGGTATCTAACATCTAATTATGTATAATACTGTATCACTGCAACATCTAATATGTACCACACATAATCTGATTTATTCACAGATTTTAAACAGCAGCTAAGTAAATTTGCCACAAAAGTTCCATGCTAATGCCTTAAGGATCTATCTCAGTTGCAGCAGTTCAGTATGTATGCTAGTGTTTCATTTAAAAGCAGCTTAAGTCCCTGAATAAAACTGAATTTACCTACAAAGTATTATGAGACTTCATTTAGTCTTATCAGCAAAACACAGAAGAGGAAGAAGCATTCCTTTAATATCCAAAAGGAAAGTACATGGAATAATAAACAGAAATTATATGGCATGGAAAGAGAGAAAAGATGCTTCAAGAATAAGCAGCTTGAATCTGACATGCTGGGAAAGAGAAACCCAGTGAACTGTCCAAAGACAGCTCTGCAACTAAACAAGGTTACCCTTAACCTAGAAACAGCTTCTGGATTCCAAACATGAATCCTATGTAGCAGAGAAGAGCACAACCCAGAAGTTCTAAATTAGAATATCTTCCCATTCATAATCCAAAACCTATCAAGATCTACTCTTATGTTACTCTGATAAAGTTACTTCTTTGTCATTCAAAAATAGTCTTTAAACCACTGCACACCAAGGAAGAACATTCTTCATGTGCTCTCAGTCACCTTGTATTTTGCTTCAGTCCCTTGAGCTATTTTGGTAGTTTTACTTGCGTTCAGATTCGGACTGGAGCTCAGAACAAACTGTATACCAAATTTCCAAGCTCATAATTCACCCCTGTAGGTATTATGTGCAAAGACAAGCAGAATTTGCCTTTCTGTATCTGCAAGTTATGTCTCAGGTTTTCCTTCCACTAAAAGCAATTTCCAGGCTGAAATTGATACTGTAGTGTTTTACTTCAGCTGCCTTATCTGGGTATCTTCTTGGCTATAGAACATCCCTAGTGGCCAATGAGAGTGATACACAATTCTGGACAAACATACATTCACAGGAACACATCAATTGAAAAAACTAAATTAATTCATCTTGTCTAAGCTTAGAACTTCTTTCTAAAGACAGACAGAATCAACTGAGTTCTGGCAATGTTATTCAGAAAACCATGTATTTAACTGAGGTCAACTTAGAATCCACTTTACAGATTTTCTGCTTTTTCTCTTGTATCCTTTGACAACATCAAGTATTATTTCTGAAGTTATATGGTCACAGTTTCTCATCAGAAATCCTTTCAACATTAAAGGATTGATACATCCCCCTACCAACCAAATTATGAATAACTGTTTTGAGAGATGCAAATTTGACAGGTTGTTAAGCCTTTACCCAATTCCTCAGAACATCAAAGGTAGATATAGTAAACCAGTTTTATCTAACATTTATCCTTAAAAATAATATGACTGTGAGCAGGCATAATATGAATATACATGCCACTTGTGTGGGAGGAGCTAAACACTTTGTCCTCAGTCAGGTTCTATGTAACTTCAGTAAGATCTATGGCACTGCATGGCTATCACCAAATGCTGAATCTAGTCTAGAAACCCCAAACGATGGAAATGAACCCATAGGGAAGTACATCCTCATTTTGCTTATGTTGCAAAACAGTGACACCCACTGGCAGCAAAAGTTTAAATACTTTATTGTTGCAGTCTGAATCTACTTGATAAGAGCTGCTAAGAAGTCTCCCTTCTGAAAAACTAATCACAGTAACAACCATGCAAACTTACCTGTTGAGTCAGCACTACTGCCAGAGGCTTCAGAAACTGCTTTACTAAGAGCATCTGGAGTAACTGCAACATAACCCTCTGGAGGAAGATCCACTGTGTAAACTCTTCTTGGAGACGTAACTGTATCATCATTATCTACAAAAGAAATTACAAAGTATTTGGTTCAATATTAGTCTCACTACAGATTTTCTCAATTGTTTTCCCAACTATAGCAATAAGTGATCTCGAAAATCCTTACAGAGGGTCAGCTGTGGAACTGTTATCCTAAGACTAGCAGAACTGTATCAAATTTCATAGCATCTATAGAGAAACAAATACTCCATGGGTTAGTTATTTACAACAGAAGCATTTTTTTTCCTATTGTATCAGGCAAATCTTCTCCCCTATCTTGAAAAGAAGCTTCTACTTTCAGTGGTATTTTTAAGAGAGACTAAATATTTTTTTCCCCATTCAGCATGAGCAGACTTTCTCTAAGAACCACTTCACAAAAGACAGATGGATGGATGGATACAAGCTTACTAGGAAGTGACAGAAGCAACAGAAAAAGAATCACAAAACAGTGGTTTGCCCATTTGCACACTGTTTAGTCACAGCTATACTTCTCTGAAGGGTGCAAAGATAACGGGAAGTTTGAAAGTCACACCTGACTAAGCCTCAGCAGTTCCTGCCCCAGAGGACTCATCTCCTCATCCTGTTCTACTTCTTTCTAGGACAGGAGGGGAAGTGCCAAGGGACAGCTTTCCGACTATTTAATTGCACAGGAAACTATTTGTGTTGATTGTAGCAGTCTGTTTTTGTATGATTTCTTTCCCCTTTGAATGGTATTTAAAAGTACCAGCAAGAGCAGCAGTAGAAACCTCATTTGTTCACCAGACAAGAAGTGACAGACACATCTCTGCTCCATTCACATGAAGTCAGACAGCATTTCTGCGCAGAGTAGTGACAACAGAGATCAACCACAGTAAGGAAAAAGCCCTTCCAGAGGGCCAGGATTTCAGGGTGTCTCCAGATGCTGCAATGTAGTTTTAAATGGCTCAGTGTGAAGTTTATTTAATTTTGGATTGTTGGGCTTTTTTGGTTGTGCTTGTTGTTTTGTTAGGGTTTTTAACAGCCAGCCAGCGCCACAAGTCACCACAGACACAGCACTAGCCTTCCCTTCTATGTGTCCCTTTAAAACACAGAGCGAGCTGCTAAAATGCTATACAATAAAAACATTTCTGGCAGGTGGACACAATAAACCTCCTTACACCACAAACTTATTGAAGATCCCAGATGATCATTGAGGTGCAGCTATGTGCAACTACGGTTGGACTAGTTCCTAAATATTTAAAATGAGGTTGTATCTGAGAGATCCCTAATGAGAATAACTTCTGTATTTCTAATATGGAATTTAACTATGCACCGACATTTCTCAGACACCCTACTTCGAAAAGAAAGTACATTTCTGAACATTCAAAGTACTTCTGAAAACACCACTATTGTTTTCATCATGAGGGAATAAATCCATTTTGAAAACACATTAGAATTATATAATCTTTTTCTTGAATGAGCCAGAAAGTTTCCAGTAGTGGTAATACTTACTTAGAGGGATAATAAGCGAAAGAGATAAATAATAGAGGAAGAGCAACTACGCGCTTTAGAAAAATCCATTAAAAATTAACATGGGATAACTCTTCAGCAGATCCTTTCCAGATGATCAAATCTACATGAACTGGCAGTACTTGCATTGACTTTTTTTCTCCCCCATCCAGGTTTATTTATGATGAAGTGCTAATTAGTGACAGTTTAAAATTATAAGTATGTATAAATGTTTAAGTTATTCCCTTCTGAAGGATTTCAAGTTTCCCTTTTTTTTCCTTTTTTCTTTAGGTTTTGTAAAACAAAAGATGATCAGGAAAAACTTAATTTCATTTACAGCAGCCTAGAAAAATTCAAATCTTATAATCATATAAGCAGTAACTACACTGAGATAATAACCTCCCAGACAAAATAGTTACACATAACAGAATTTGAGGAACCATCTGTAACACACAAACCTACATGGAAGAACAGTTACAAATCCTTCTATGGAAACAAATAATGACTCAAGACTATATTTTTTATTTTACCTCTTTAAATGGGAATCTCCAAATTACATATTTATTTATACCAGCTGCATTTAAGAAGCTTGCAAGATCATAAATCAATAATTAGTCTTTGCTAATCTTGTGCAAATGTGTCAAACCAAACTGTCACCATATGTACATCTGGATTTTTGCAGCTTGGGGCCAGAGTCCCCTTGGGTCAAGAAGAGATGGATTGGTCAAATAAAGTCAAACACTGCTGCAAAGAAAATGGCTGAGCTTATGAAACTGTGACCAAGCTAAAGACTGGTTTTTGAGAAACAAAAGTAAACAGATATTAGAGATATTAAAGAATGTTCCCCTTTTACTAGTTAAAAGTAATTAATCCCATTTCTGAAGCTTTATTTTATGGGAAAAAAAAGGGTCCAACAACTAAAGGTCATTTACAATGCCCCAAAAAGAGTAAACATTTTTCTTTAAGGCAAACCAAGACTACAGAATAAATATTTTGAAATTATCTGTCTTCTACTCATGGTCCCCACACAGAGATCCCTACCACATAACTCAGTATGGTGGTTTGTGCACAGAGTAGGGAAAAGCATCTACACCATGCCATTACCAACATTACGTCTCCAAGCATGTCAGTTCCTTGGCCAGCTGTGTTATCTCTTACTATCTTACTACAAACTAGTATCAGATCTTTTTAGAAGGAGCTGAAGGTAAAGCTTCAGGCCATACAGAATTGTCAACTGCCCAGTCAGTCAGTCATCTCAGGTAGCCACTGTATGTTATTAAGTTTATTTTTCAGCACCTTTAAACTATCCCCTAGTCGTAGCTCAGAATGGTGGCACGTAGCACTAGCAGAGTTTCCAGACTGCCTGAACACAAAGCATGCTTAGGCACACCTCAGACACAGACACAGCTAGAGCATACATTCATACAGTCTTGGTCCTTTGCTTGCTCTAAGACTAAACCCTGGACAGAGACTAAATCACTTCGAGGTTCTGTGCTGGGCTGGCCCTGGCTAACAGCCCAACACCCAGCCAGATACTCACTGACTCTCCCCTCAGCATGCTGAGGGTGGGGTGGCTTACAGTGGGGCGAACAGGACTAAGAGAGCTTATGGATCAACAGCAAGGACATCACAGCTACAAGAATCTTTCTTCACTGGCTCTTTTCACTCCCAACTTCACCTCTATTTCCTCTCACTGCAGGTTATACCCAGTTCCTTCAGAGAGACAGAGCAGTACAAGGAGATGGGGGTAATGTTTTAAGTCTCTTTTGTTCCTTTTCCCCCACTGGGGTTTTCCATGGGCTGCTGTCCTTCAGGAACATTTACTCAACAACAGAGTACCTTCTCCTCCTCTGACCCTCAGGTTCCCACTGTTGCCACTCCTTTTAGTTCCTTCCTGTCTTGGGATTGCTTTCTCATTTCTTGAAGTGTCCCCTAGGGTGACCCTGCCTCAGCTGTGGGCTCAGTTGTGCCCTGCAGTGGGTGGGCTGGAACTGGCTGTGTCCAGCACAGGGCATCCACAGCCTCCCCTCACAGAAGTCCCACTACCAGTGACTGGACCCCAGGACCCTGTAGAGTTTTTCAGTCAAGACAAAAACTTTGTCTTACCTGTGAAGGGCTTCTCTGCAACTCAGAAAGCTTTGATAATTCACCCAAGTTAAGTTCCCACAGGGCAGAATTCATAAGAGCAGACAGAGGACCCAAGTCAAGCTAGAAAATCCTGCAGCTCCCCCTCCCCACCAAACAACTGTAAGTTAGCCAAATCTTACCAAGATTGTGATCTTTTCCACAAAATTACGCCTTGGAAACACACAGTTATCATACTTTTCCAAACAGATGGAAAGAGTTCATCCTCAAAAATAGGTCTTTATAGAAAAGCACAGTGTCCTAGTTCTGGCCAGGACAATTAATTACTTTTTACAGCAGTCAGGTGCAGTGGCACATGCCTGTAGTCACAAGCTGCTGGATAGGCTGACTGCACCCGAGTACCTGATCCAGGAGCTCTGGGCTGCCCTGTGCTGTGCCCAGAGGACATAGCCAAAACACCAACCTTACTCAGTACCATCTTAGGCCACTTCCAAGGGCTGGGGAAAAGAGACTCTTGCTTCCAAGACAGGTGCTCCTTTCCTGTCACAGGGAATTCCTGTCACGCAGAAGAGCTGTTGTTTGCCATTGTTTTTCAGTGTCCTGAGATGGGGTGAACATCTGTCATGTCAACCACCCTCTCTTTGTACATTGTTATTAGCATTGTTGCTGTTACTGTTTGTTTTCTTATCTCACTGCTATTTCCAGTAAACTGTTCTTATCTTCACCAATGATCTGTGCCTTTTGTCCCCCAGTGGAGATGGACAGGGGAGCAGCTGATGGTTTTCTTTTTAGCAGGAGTATTAAATTTGAGAGTACCATTCCTGAATCTGCCTACATAGGAAATGAGGAATTGATGCTGAATCAAATACAAGGTCTGAGTAGTTCAGTGTCATACTCTCTACAAAAGTCACTATTGGTAGTAGGCATTTTCTGTGCAGTGTTACAGTAGATATGACCAGGGCAAAAATAAGGCTTGAATGAGGTTTGTTATTTCCCTTAAAAATTTTGTATTAAAGTAAGATTTTACTTAGTATGTAAGATAGACTATGACCCTGTTATAGCTATTCCTCATTTTTATTGCACACAAGTGAGACTACAAGCCCAAAACTCTGACAATTCCCAAGGAATGCACACACCTTGTTATCTGTACACAATATCTTTCCCCTTCATTGACTAGCAAGACAAGCATCTATAACAACAGGACACAAATCCTGGGCAAGACTCGTCTCCTTCAAAAACCTTCATAAACTGAAGTGTACCAAATGTGCTATCAGTGACTATCTGTACACACTTTGAGTGTCCTCCTGAACTGTGGTACTGAAAAAATAAATACTTCTCCTGTTGATCAATGTGAACACATCAAAATGTCCTTCAATAGCATGAACAAATCCAGCGAACCTAAATACCCATCCATTCCTCAATGTATACTCCTTTTTGTTCAGACAATATCCAAGTTCCTGGACACCAAACTA